TCATCATCCAACCCTAAAAATATATACATGTAAACAAATAACAAAAATAATAAGAACATACCTTAAAGTTTCTTTAACCACACTCTTCATGTATGAGAACTGTGCCATGTGTTTGGGCAGGAGCGGTCCCTCGTGATCCCTAAGGACTGTGTCTACCTCCGCCTGCAACTTGGCTTGAGCGTCGGGGTTCCGTGCCAATAGATACAGAATAAAGCCAAGTGTGTGGGAGGTCTGTGAAAACCCAGTAGATAGTTTAATATTAACCACTACTGCCGCGAACTTGCACTGTCTAGAACTTATTTATTTTCTTTCACATAGAAATGGCTATGTGAACACTCACGTACGGGGTAGATATGAGGTTTATTTGACCTCATCTCTTTACCCTATTACTGGAATTCTCCTTTCAGTACCTAGGATTACCGTTAGTAAAGTTGGTATTATCATTATTATAATATACATGATGATAATGATAATGATGATAACAATAACAGTAATGATAATTATAAAAGCTTTTTACCCAGCATCCAAGCTATGGAGTCAATAGATGAGCTCGTGTAGGCCTTGTAATTGTAAAAGTTTAAGTTTTTTATTAAAGAGAATATACATAAATATATACTAATGATATATAGCTAACGGTAATGATAACAAGAATTTAGACTGCTTGTTTGCATGATCTGCCGGCATCATGGGCTCAAAATAATTGTACTGAATCTTCATGGAGAAAGTAATGACTTGTTGCTGGTCATTCCTTTATTCCTCTATTAGCTCTTCCTTCAGATAATTCTATGATTCCCCTTACCGTATCGATGCCTGCGAACAACATATCCAGGATCAGTGTGACGACATCTTTCTTAGTAAGCCCTTCTGTCATCAGAAGGGATTCCATCAAGGAAACCTCATGCTCACTGTCAGGATCCTGCGCCAGAATAGCGGCCTCTGTCTGCTGCATGCTACGGACCGCAATCCTGGAAGTGAAGGTAATTCCTACTGAGCAACCAAGGGGCTAAATAAATAATATCCGAGATATTCAAACGACGAAAGTCCAAAAGACTTGTTGGGAATTATACCATTAAATTTTCAGAGTTCTTGGATTAGACTACTAAACTCAGAGACGGAATGCCATTGAAATCTTTTAATCGGGTGATCATCTTCTGTATCAATACGGTTTATACTAAAAAAAAGTTACTCAAATACTCAAAATACAAACAAAAAGACTACCGCCGTGAAGCAAAATAAAACACTCACTCTAAGAATTGCTCATGTCTGTTCTTCAGCTTTTTGTACGGTGGAATTGGGAAAAGCTTCCACAACCCCAAGGATATTTCAGTATCGTTCAGTGCTTGGAATATGTCATTGACGATCTCAATCAGCCTCAGAGCATCCGAATCTTCACGGATGCTCGGATTAAGACAGCCTAGGCGTCGATTCAGCGCCACCAAGCCAACGGCTAAGAAGGAGAAATGGGACGAATAAATTGTATACTTGTGCTGATTAGTGGATGTAAGCAATAAAAATGGAGTGAACGAGAAATGAAACCAACTTCTTCACTGGCTCCTCTGACTGATTCAGAGTTAGTCATTGCTGTTTCCAGAGAAAATGTCTATCTCTCTCCTGGATTAAACACTAGACACTCACACTCACTCTGCACAGAATCATAAGGATAAGATATTGCCGTGAGATAGTTATTATGACTCATGTGTATAATACATTTGCTTTTTGAGTACAGAGTCAAGCCTACCTTGCATACTAATATAATCTGAGCAATTACCTTTACAGTCACGGCATTGAGACACATCCCTTTCAGCCATGCGTGAACACAAAATAATGGGGTTCTTCAAAGCCCTGAGAGGTATTGAGAAAATCCTTTTACTTCTAATACAGAGTTCCCAGCCAACTCCGCCTTAGCTCTACATTGACTGGCTCACTGAAATGATGGCACCCAGACGAACTCAGTGCAATGCATGGCCTGCGACGGTGATTATCCATAGAAAGCAACTCGACCTCTCTTAGAATTATACATGTAGAATTATAGCTGAGACGTCAATTGACCAGCTCATTGCCAGGTAACCATGATCAAATGAGCTAGTGTAATGGCGGTATGCAGACTGCAAAGGGCGCTCCCTATTCTCAGGTTAACATGGGCAATTCTGCTGAATCACACCAAGCTTAGCGTCATACACCGTGCAATATTTATAATGAAAGTGAAGTGAGAAAGTGATGAAAGCAGATTGTCAATAACTGTCTCAGAGATGATCTGGAAACCACAGTAACCTGTACATATACACCATGCATGTAGAATACTACTTACATTCAAGTGCCCATTTATACATCTCAAATTGGAAGTCGTTCGGCATTTCCCCGTGCTTTGCCTGCAACTCCGCAATCCTGTGAATTGAAAACTGAATCAAGAAATGAACTATCTCTACATAATAAATGTGGTATGAGTTTAAACCATTGAACTGAGGGGATGCCACTTACTTAAACGAACAGATATGATGTTAGCACGTGATTATTATTTCTATTTAATTTTTGCTTTTGTTTTCTCCATCTTCCGAAGCAAACTCATGAATCCCCCCCCCCCCCCTAAAAAGAAAGAAAATCCACATAACCTCAAAAACCAGGCCACACAGAGAAATTAGCGAGACATACCTGTCCATAAATTCAACTGAAACTTGGTCCATTTGCTGAAGGTAGGTTCCCACTACCTTAGGTTTCATCATAGGGGTCTGGACTCTGCTCCTCACTCGCCACCACTCGTCTCCGTTTCTGGGGAAGGTGGAAAGACTGTTTACTAGACCACGTGCTCGGCCTCATGACTCCAGACAGAGGATAGGGACGCATACTGATACATCTGATAAAACAAATTTAAGACATATGATACTACTTTCATCCACGCACATTCCACCCAGTCTCACTCTCTCCTCTTCATCCCCCTTTCCCTCCTCTTCTCCTCCTCTCTCTCTTCTTTTCCCCCTCTCTCTCCTCTTTCCCTCCTCTGTCTCTTCTCCCCCCCTCTCCCTCCTCTGTTCCTCCTCTTTCTCCTATTCTCTCCTTCTCTCCTTTCTCCCCCTCTCCCTCCTCTTCTCTCCTCTCCCCCCCGCATCTCTCTCTTCTTCTCCCCCCTCTGTCTCCTCTTCTGCCCCGCTCTCGCTTCTTCCTCTTCTCCACCTCTCTCCTTTTCTCTCCTTCTCTCTTTTCATCTCCCCTATCTCTACTCTTCTGCCCTCTCTCTCCTCTTCTCTCCCTCTATCTCTTCTTCTCCCCTCTCTCTCTTCTCCCCTTATCTCCCTCCTTTTCTCCCCCTCTCTCTTCTCTTCCCCCCTTCTGTTTCCGCTTCTCCCTCTCTCTCTCCTCTTCCCCCCTCTCTCTCCTCTCCCCCCCCTCTCTCTCCTCTTCCCCCCCCCCATCTCTCTCCTCCCCCCCATCTCTCTCCTCCCCCCCATCTCTCTCCTCTTCCCCTCCCCCATCCCACTCCTCTTCTCCCCTCCCTCTCCTCTCCCCCTCCCCCTTCCCCTTAAGGATATAACTTACTCGACCAATATCCCCGCCTTTTTCTCGAAGAAGTCGTCGATGGCCCGATCCCTCACCGCCTTCAGGGAAGCGATGGGCGTGCGGACGGGGTTGTGCATGGTAAGGCGTAGGAGCTTCTCGCAGTCGTCGGGGTGGGTCATTAGTATCATGGGACCGAAGCCAGGCACGACCAAGCGGAAGGTGGGGCCGTAGGTGACGTTTGCTCGGAGGTAGTACTTGTGAAAGGCTTTGCGGTCGAAATCTGTAGAAGAAGAAAGTGGAGATGAAGATGGGGGAAGAAGATGATGATGGAGAAGGAGATGGGGGAAGAAGAAGAAGAATATAAGAGAAGAAGAGTAAAATGGGAGTTAAAAATAATGCTTTGGGGTCGAAATCTGTGACGAAGAAGAAAGTGGAGATGAAGATAGGGGAAGAAGATGATGGAGAAGAAGAAAATAGGGGAAGAAGAAGATGATGATGGAGATGAAGATGGGGGAAGAAGATGATGATGGGGGAGGAAGAAGAAGATGGGGGAAGATGAAGAAGAAGAGGGAGGATGATAAGAGAAGATGGGTATTCAGTGGGAATTGATAATAATGCTTTGGGTTCGAAATCTGAGATGAAGAAGGAGAAGATAGAAAAGGAGAAGAAGAAGAAGAAGAAGAAGATGGGGAAAAAGAAGAAGAAGAAGAAGAAGATGAAGATGGAGAAGGAGAAGAAGCAGGAGAAGAAGAAGATGGAGGAGAAAAAGAAGATGAAGAAGATGGCGAAGCAAGCTAAAACATTCAGTAAAAAAAATAATTATTGAGATGCTTTGGGGTCGAAATCTGAGATGAAGAAGGAAAAGATATGGAGAAGATGGAAAAAAAAATTCGGAGGAATTAACAACTGAGATGCTTTGGGGTAGAAGAAGGAGAAGGAGAAGGATGAAGAAGAACATCAAAACATTAAGTAGAAATTAATGATTAAGAAATTAAGTAGAAAGAAAGACATTAACGTTAAGTGGGAATTCAAAGTTAATTAAGTAGTGATTAAGAAGTTATTCAATACAAATAGAAGAAATTAAGTGGAAAGAAGAAGAAGAAGAAAAAAATAATCAGTAGAAATTAAGAGAAATTTAGTTAACTGATAAGAATAAATAAAAAGAAAATAAATTTGAGATTAATTGATAGAAATAAAACAAATTATGTGGAAAGAAGGGGAAAAAAATAATAAAGGCATTATTAAGCACAAGTCAATAATTAAGAAATTAATCAATAACAGATACAAGAATTTAAATAATAATAATAAAACAACAACAACATTAAGTACAGTCGAGGTTTACAAAGCCCTATGAAAAAAAAAAAAAAAATCTCACACAAAGAATAAATGAATTTCCAAAAACAAACAGACATATTTCAATTTACCAGCCAACATATCAGGTAAAGAGCCAATCACCGGGTATGTTTTAGGCCCTGGCATTTCCGAAAGGGGTTTGGCAGCTTTTAGTT